CCAGCCGGTAGCCCCGCCCCGCACCACGTGGCCCAGGCCCATCAGCGGCAGCAGCTCCTCCCGCGGCTTCTCCACCTCCACCGAGGTGTGGACCCGCTCGGCCGCCGGCCGGGCCCGGTTGTGCCGCTCCACCCGCCGCATCATCGCCGCCTGCTCCGCCGCGTTACGGGCCTGCGGGCGCACAGCCCCTGGCACCGGCACCAGCTGCCTCCGGGGGGGTCCCCCGGCCCCCACTGCGGGGGCTGTCGCCCCCAGCCCCGGTCTCACCTCCCAGTGAATCCACTTGTACTGGGAGAGGTCGACCCGCTCGAAGTCGCGGGCCGTCACATCGGGCAGGTTCCTGCGGGGCGGGGGTCAGGGGAACCTCCAGCCGTGGGACAGGGCAGACCCTGGTGACCCCCAGCCTGGCCGGGAACGAAGGGCAGCGGCGTGGGCTGTGGAGGGCTCAGTGCTGCCCAGGGCAGAGGTCCCCGTGGGGGTGGCACTGCCTGGGTGAATCATTAACGATGGCACAGCGGGACCCCAAGGTGGATGCGAAGGGCAGCATGGCCGCTGCCGCACTGCAGCTGCTGGAGCCGGGGGGGTTGGCGATGCCCACCATTGACCCTTCCACCATTGACCCGCATGAGCGCAGCTGGCCCTTCGCCAGAGCGAGGACCATGGCTGCCCTGCCAGCACCGGCACGGCCAGGGGACTGCTGTCCTGGGCAGTGGGCGGCTGCCACATGCGGTGCCGGGCATCCCCACAGGGGCTGTGCCGGCTGTCCCGCATACCGGAGCATGTGGATACCACCGCCAATCACGGCTGTGGCACAGGGGCTGATTAGGGACTGCAGGGATGATGGGCAGTGATTGTGTGTGCAGAAATACAGGGAATCACCCAATCTGGCATGCGGGACGCCCCAGCAGGCAGCACAGGGCTGGCGCCAGCAGAGCCTCTGCTGGAGGCCAAGCATGGTGAGACCCCCAGGGTGCAGGGGGTGGTCTGGGTGCCCGGCTCAGCCAGGGAGAAGGCAGGGAGGGTGCTGCAGCCCTGAGGTGACCCGCTGGGTGACCGGGGCCAGGGACTGGTGTCCTTACGTGTCGTAGAGCATGATGGTCCGGGAGCCGCTGGCGGCGCTGACGATGCAGCAGGCGCAGGGCATGTCCCCGTGGGGCTGCCAGGCCACATGCGTCACATCCACGCCCCGGCGCTGGAAATCTGCTGCAATGAAACTTGGGGGACAGAGAGCAGGGTGAGCTCACCCGCGGGCATGCGGGACAGCATGTGCGCCCCGGCTGGCACCGGCAGTGACGATGGAGGCAGGCGGGTGGCTGTGGCACCACATGGCACGTATCCAGCCAGCTGTGCCACAGCTCGGCTGGGACGAAGCTGCCGTCGGAAGAGAAGTGGAGGGCCCGGTGGGAACGTCAAGGCGGGGGTGGCCCCGGGTCCCCCCCCACCCCCCCGCACCCCACTTACTCTCCGGCATGCCCGGGGGCCAGCGAGCCCATGAAGGCACAGGGGGCTCCCAGCAGTGCCAGCACCGTGCAGGAGTTGGAGGCGTTCCCGCCCCGCTGCCACCGCTGCGACACGCACCTGCAAGGCCGCGGGCCGTGGGTGCCGGGCCGGCCCTGGGAGGAGCACCGGCGGGGCTGTCCCATCGCCCCCCCCGCCGCCCCCACCGGTACCTGGTATCGGTGTCCTCGGCGGGGTAGGCTGGCACCACGGTGATGATGTCCAGGCACACCAGCCCAACGCACAGGATCCGCTTCTCCCCTCCCGCCAGGACGCGCTCGGGGTCCCGCCGGGCGGCCGC